TACAAAATGAACAAATCTGAGAGAGGTCCACATGTAGTACCTATATATGTAATATCAAAGCAATTGGACTTGCAGTTTTTAACAAGAAGTCGAAAATATCACTTTTCACCAAAAATGACAAAAATATTCACCAAAATTAGAGAATTGAAGATATCAACATGAAACGAACAAACCTAATAGAGGTCTACCCAAGGTACACCAAGTATCAAAGCATTCAGGCTTGTAGTTTTCAAGAAGAAGTCGAAAAAGTAAAACATTGACACGGACGACGACGACGACAGACAATCACTCATATGATAAGCTCCGCTCGACAAAGTCGACAGCGGAGCTAAAAAGCTGAACCTTATTAAAAAAGGTTATATGAGGAATGATGAGTGTTAGGATGCGACAAACTTGCTCCTTCAGGACATAATTAATCTACTAAGACCTTAATTCCCATCAAGTTTAAATCCACTACATATATTATCTCATTAGCAGCCAATCAACATGCAAATAGAGTTTGGGGTTATCGGTGGTTGCTTAGTTACCATGTGTACAACAGGGGTTTATAGATGTTGATCCAGGTCAGCAAGAATATGCTGATATTTAACTAATACAAACTTCAGTTTTAAGGCAGAGCATGTTGATTTGAAAAATTCAAAAATGTTTGTAAAATATGGAAAACAAGTTTTTATCCAGACATACAATGAAGCTAGACAAAATACAATTTATAACTTCTTGCCATCCATACATATTTTTGTAAGATACATCTAGGGCACAACATACAAGTATGTCTATTCAACTTGTGAGATATTAAAGTAAAAAACGTCAGACTCACTAACGATTGGGTACATAGTTTTCCGGCTTTCTATTCTATAATTCTATACCTGTACTTATTTTAGATCAAATTAAGTTTTTTTTTGAACATGAATGATTTAAAAGTGATAATTATTCAAAACTAATAAAAAAATGTAAGTTATAAGTTTTCTTGTCTACAATTAGTAAATGCAAGACCAATGTAGGATTTTGGAGGTGATTACAAAAGTATAATTTTGGAGGAATGATTATGGCTCTAAATCTGGTACTTTATTTCTCATATTGAATCAACAGGTGACAAATAAAGAGTATTGTCATACAACTTAAACGTATATTCAAATTCAGGCCCACTCCATGCACTTCAACCTATGAACTTTCACCTCACCTACAGAGTTACATGTGTAAGTCATCAACAATGCAGAATATAGTACATGTATGTGCAGTCTATGGGTAATTGACAGGATGGAATGATGGCAGGAAAAATCATAAAGGATGTAGTTTATGCTCCCAGAATGTACTGCATTTACAGTAGGATTTTAAAGACTTTAATAGCTCTTAAACATGACTTTAATGCAAATATATCCTGACAGTTTGCTCATACCGTAATTATGATCAGAAAGACTAAACAACATCTTCTCAGTTCAATCTAAAAACGTTCTAAAAGATGATGTCCAAATCACTGCCCTGTAATTGGTTCACTGTCCATGTCACATGACATGAGAAAGTAATTAATGAATGAGTTCATAATCTTGGTATATGTATGCAGTTGCAAGCATTCAAAACACTCCAGGGGAGATAGCTAATCTTAATAAAACATTAGAGTAGTTCTGATAAAAGCATTAGTGAATACTTGTTAAGTTTACCCAGAATAAACAACCATCCATAAATGCAAACATACATGTAACTATCTCATTTATGTGGTAAATATATCAGATGATATGTTATTAAAGCAGTTGTCAAGGCAACTGATAATACATGATGGCAACAAAGTGAAATAACCACTTATCACTTATTATTTCTTTAAACCATTTCAAACTGAAAATATTTGGTAGTCATTGCCAGAATAGAATGGCATTTGTGTCGCTCAATACTGTTATTTTCCCTATTTTGATTTGTTTTTTGCTTTAGGAGGTATTGTATTTCTACCATGTTCACTATTTATGGTTTGCTGGAAAGTTAGTTTCTTTATGGTTTCAATGTTAGATTCTCTGATATTATGTGATATCTAATTATGTTTTGAACAGAATGATTCAATGTGGCCAGTTTGGGTGATAGAAAATAAATCTGTCTCGTTTGGGTTTTAACAGTTTTTTTTTTTGTATATTGTTATAGACATCAGGTGGTGAGTCCCACCCAACTAGAATGTGCACATAACAACCAATTTTACATGGCTGTTATAATGCAGGAGTGTATTTGCGAAGCAAGCAAAATATAACACAACAAAAACATGTAATGTGGTCACCTGGAGATGATTAATTGTTTCACCACCAGACTTTCTTCCCAAAATTTTATTAGCACTTTGTTCTTATATTCTTCAATATTTCTAGAAATGAACCTTAATTTGAGTCAAATTATTCAAAAAAAATGATTTTTGTCTTAATCTTTTGCAGACTATAAATGGGACTATTTTGTGAATTGAGATGAAAAGAGGGAACTGGTGGTGAAAAGGTTGAAGCTTACAGTTATGATAATATAAAGGATACTACCACCAGCCATTGCTTCACTATTAGACAAATATGAAATGTAATGGAGGGGAGAATAGAAAACACACTGTGCCTTTAATCTAAACATGTCATACTGTATCATTAATCTAAACACAACAAAAATATCAAACTGAAAACATCGGCCGCTGCTGTCATGTACAAGTTGTAGAAATAAGCCAGAAGTTTAGGATACTAGTAATATACTTTTTCACTGACAAATTTAGTTAAGAATTTAGTAGGTGGAAATATACAATAGCAACATACAAAGATCGGTAAAATACAGTGTG